CATGGATGTGCTTGAATATTTATCAGGAAAGAGGAGAGCAATGGTCCTTGGCAGGGCCACCTATATGCCAAGCACTGGGCCAGCTGCCCCAGAGGACTTACCTCTTTGAGGTCTTACAGAGGAAAAGAGATTTCTTATCTTCGTTCTTTGCTAGGCTGGTGGCTGAGGTCCCTATAACAGAAAACAGCTTAACAGGTGAAAAGCATACAAATTTATTTGGCTTTTTAAAATTTAATTTACTTTAATTATTATTATTCTTACATAGAGATGGGATCTTGCCATGTCACCCAGGCTGGTCTGGAATTCTTGGGCTTGATAATTCTCCCGCCTTGGCCTCCCAAAATGTTGGAATTACAGGCATGAGCCACTGTGCCTGGCCCAAATTTATTTAATCTAAGTTTTACATGACACAGGAGCCTTCAGAAAGGAAGGCCCAAAGAAACAGGAAAACCTATGTATTCTTACATTTTTTAGTTTGTATTATTTTTAATTTAATTAATTAATTAATTAATTTTTGAGAGAGGGTCTTACTCTTTCACCCCGGCTGGAATGCAGTGGCAGGATCTTGGCTCACTGCAACCTGTGCCTCCTGGGCCCAAGCGATCCTCTCACCTCAACCTCCCGAGTAGCTGGGATTACAGGCATGCACCACCACACCTGGCTAATTTTTTGCATTGGTAGTAGAGATGGGGTTTCACCATGTTGTTGCCCAGGCTGGTTTATTATTTTTTAATCATCTAGCCTAAAATGTCAAAACTTGTGACTCTTTACGCCAAGTTTGATGAAGAAGTACATAGTTGTCGAGAAGTATTGCACAGGGTGTTTGATCTAATGTGATAAACTTGGGGGAAGCTTGCAAGGCCTGTTTGCTCAGATTCTTCTCTGTGTCCTTGAGTCTTCAAAGTTAGTGCTGTTTCTTTCTCCTGGCAGAAAGAGAGTAACTCTTAAATGAGTATCTTATGACCTGCTTCAGGGTGAAAGGCAGGAGAAGGTCAGAGTGGAATGACTATCCTAGGTTTTAGGACCTGCTTCTACTGTTTTCTCAAATGTGGCCAAGGTTCCATATTTGAGGAGTAGTGTGTCCAGAATTCCATCAGTAGATGCTGTTATTGTCACCTTACAAATGGGGAAACTGAGGCTCAGAAAGATCAAGGGATATGCCCAGGCTCACACAGTGGGCTTGTAGCACAGCTGGGATTCCAACCCATGTCTGAGGCCTGAAAGCCTGTTCTTAGCCTCCCATTTCCCTGAGACCTGCCCTTTGCAGCTGGGAGGTGGCCAAAGGAGGCAGAATCCTAGGCCTTTCCCGAACAGAACAGGTAAAGGAAGGTGGTCCTTGCAGTCAGGCTGGTCTCTGAAATTTTGTTCCTCATCACCCAGACTCAGGTGGTGTGAAGAGTGCTTACTATGCCCATGAAGGGCAGCCTTGAAGCGGGAGTCTCTGGCTGACAGACTTTCAGGAACTAGTCTGTCTGCCTTTTAAGGCAGCTGCAGGCAGGTGGCTGACTGACAGCCCAAACAGACAGTTCTGAAAGGTAGTAGCTGGCTGGCTTGCCAGCAGGTGGACATGGTATGCCTGTATGAGTGACCAGCCAAGTGACCGACCGACAGGCGGGCACACAGACCCACTGCCAGCCAGCTTGGGCTGTGGGTCCCTAGCGCGTGGAGCCACCTGGCCTACCTGGGACCCCAAAGCCTAGCTGTGCACCTTGGAGAGAGGGACTTGATTTTTTAAACTAGGGCCTGGCTCCCTGCCCCCAGTCCCCTCATTCCCACAGGCCACTGCCAGTCCAGCCCAGGTTCAGCCCCACATTTTTTCCCTCCTCCTGTCAGGGCTGGCCCCTGACAAAGGCCCCACGGAACAGGGCAGGGCCTCAGTGTCCTTCCACATGAGGGGGACAGACGGCCTTGGAAGTGACCCTCCTTCCAAGGGGAGTTCTGCCCTGAGTCAAGGAGGCGAGGGTTTGCTGTCACCCATCAGTAGAGGCCCAGCACATAGGAAGGGTTTGGAGGCAATGGACAGCCTTTCTGACAAGCCCCATTCAGTGACCGACTGACCACCCAGTACATGACGCGTGCTCCTCTCAGAGCCCAGAAGGACGTGGCCAGTGCTTCCCTCCCCTGTCCAGAGGCTCAGGCTGTGGACTTTGCCCTCTATAAACAGCCATATCTCTAAAGGCTAAAGTAATCCCAGAAAGGCTTTGAGCCGTAGCAGAAGGGGCTGAGATTGAAGCTTCAGGGAGAGCCAGAGGTGAGGCTGGAGTGGGAGCTCACCTGAGGCAGGTGAGTAGGCTCCAGGAGTGGGCAGGTGAGAGAGTGGGGGGCTGGAACTGGGGCTAGACAGGTTGGGGCACAGGACGATGTCTCCAGTATACCCAGAAAGCGAAGTGGAGGGTCCAGGGCCTAGCCTGGAGCTGGGGGCCTCACGTGTTGAGCTGGCCCACAGGTCTTCCACCCCTCTCTCCCATCCGTTCCTTGGGTTCCTCCAGAGCTGGGGCTCCAGGTCAGGGACTTCTGCTCCCAGCCTCAGCTCCCGCTCTCTCATCCAATTGGCTTGGCCCCTTGGTGGTTTGGCACTGCTACCTATGAAGTGACCGGGCTAGGTTTGGCTGGACCAAGACAGAGAAAAGCACTGTGCTTCTTCCCCTTGTCAAACTTGTACGAGGAGCATTGAGCGGAGTTGAGTTTAACACCTACCTGGTCTTGAGTCGTGGGACCAATGCTAACCAGCAAAGCTAGTTCCGCTGAGCCTGGGTGTCCTTATCAGCAGCACAGATAATAAGACACCAAAGGGACAGAGCTGTGGAGAAAGTTCACAGGCCAGTGCACGGAAAGCCTGTGGCACGGAGCCCGGGTGACAGCAGGTAACCCACTGCCGCTGATGAGGGGGCTGAGGCTCAGAAATGGTCCCCTCTGCCTCCTCTGGGAGCCTTTGCTTTGAACCGCCTTACTTCCTCTTTGCCTTTAAAGTGACTCCCACAGAATGTCCCATGACGCCCCCCTTCCTTAGGCCAATTTCCCATCTCCTCCTGTCAGATGCCAGCTTTGTTTCAATAGCTCCCTGCTTCCTCTGAGTGTTTATGCCTCTCAGAGGGACTCCTCCCCAGCCACACGCACTTCCATTTCCTCAGCCAAATTCCTCCACCTGTTTTATGGACATTTCTCCAAAGCAAGATATACAAATGGCCAATAAGCACATGGAAAGACGCTCAACATCATTAGTCATCAGGGAAATGCAGACCAAAACCACACCAAGATACCGCCTCTACCCTATGAAGATGGCTCTAATCGAAAAGACAGACAATCAAAGTATGAGCAAAGATGAAGGGAAATTGGAACCTTGCTGGAGGGAGTGTAAAATGGTGCTGCCACTGTGGAAAATGGTTTGGCAGTTCCTCACATAGTTAAACATAGAATTATTTTATATGAACCTATGACCCAGCAATTCTGCTCCTAGGTGTACATCCAAGAGAACTGAAAATGTATGTCTACATAAAAATTCGTACATGAATGTTTCTAATACCTGAAACTTGCAAACATTATGCTAAGTGAAAGAAGCCAATCAAAAAAGGCCACATATTGTGTGACTTCATTTATATGAAATGTTCAGAATAGGCAAATCCATAGAGGCAAAACATAGATGAATGTTTGCCAGGGGAGAAGGAGGAATGGAGGTGACTGCAGATGGGTAGGGGACTTTGCATTGGGGGGATGAAAATATTCTGGAATTAGATAGTGGAGATAGTTATACAGCTTTGTAAATGTATGAAAACCCACTGGATTGTACACTTTTAAAAGGGTGGATTTTATGGCTATGAATTACATCTCAATTTAAAAAATCCTCAGGCTCCCAGGTACCTTGTAAGAGGAGCACAAAAATTTCACCTGTGGTGGTTCAGGGCGTCTGTAGCCCATCCCTGAGTGTGTCTTTCAGGCCTGGAGATATAGTGAGGGTCCCCCAGGTCAGAGGGAACCTGAAATCAAAGTCCAGCCTCCAGAAAGAGAATTCGGAGTGAGGGGAAACTCCTGCAGATGGTGAGAGGGACGTGAAACGATGAGGCTTCCGGTGGGAAGTGGAGCCACAGGAGAGGAGGCAGGCTAAGGAGGCCTGCGCTGCCAGCAGGAGCAGGTGGTTTCAGACTAAACGGAGGGGTAGAGTCTCAAGGTTGGACTTCCAGGCTCCCCACTGAGAGTGAGCTCAGGAGACCCTGGGAGACGCCTCTGAAGGGGCTCAGCTTTCCTCTCATTGCAGTGAATGGGATACTGACAGTTACCATAGTTACCATCTGAGGAAAGCCAACATGCATAAAGGAGGCCAAGGGTCCAAGACAGCTCTGCCTCATCAGTTATCACCCAGAATTAAAAGGGATGAGCTCGAATGCCCCTTTCTGCCCTGACCAGCAACATGTCTGATGGTGTGACTTGGGGATTGGGCTGGTTAGCTCTGTGATGACATGCACAGGGATTCCCTGTGAAAGTGTTGGAATCTACTCCAATAGACCCCGGAAAATCCTTTATTCCCTGACTATGGACCTAGGTTGACCCTGCACCTGGCCCCAGACTTCTGATCCTAGACCGAGCCAGACAGACTCAGCCTCCAGGAGCACGGGCTGTCTCATAACTCAAGGCAGACTGAGAGTCTGCATGGCTCATCCTACTGTGGGGGCCATTGCCTGCAGGTTTGTTGTGTGAAGAGGTCAGCAGCTTCTCCCTAAAAGGGAAGTTTTGCTGGGAGCAGAGTAAAGTGTGAAATAGGTGGTCCCAGTAGGTATCAGGCCAGTAAAAGCACAAGGACACACACCCTTTTAGGAAAGTCCCTTCCAGCGCTGTGTCCTCAGAATGAGGAAGGCTGAAGGTGATTTGATCCTCCGATTCTCATTAACCACTATGGCCCATTCCTCCTGAAAGACCTTGGTTCTGAAGTCTAGGGCTATCTGATCAGTTTAGGGCCATTCTCTGAGATTCTATCTATTCTCCTTTCCTGGTTGTCTGTCCCTCAGGGCCAGCGAGTGAGGGACCCCAGGTACCAGACAAGGAAACCAAGGCCACCATGGGCACAGAAAACGCACCTGGAGGCAAAGCCAGCCCAGACCCTCAGGACGTGCAGCCAAGCATGTTCCACAGCATCAAGGTACCTCTCAGGGCCTGGCAGGGGGCTCCAAGTCCAGAAGAGCAGATTCTGCCAAGTACTGGCTGTGTAATGCCAAGCAAGCCTTTCTCTGAGCCTCAGTTTCCTCATCTATAAAACAGGTGGTTGTGAGGATCAAAGGGATGGTCTATGAAAGCCCTCAGCTGGGATTCGGGCACATGGAAGGTGGCCAGTTCATGTTCTCTCCTCCCAGAGAGGAAAGGGGGTGCTCTTATTGGAGTGCAGGATGAGGCCCCTTGTTTCCCACTTTTCCAGAGAGAGAAGTGCCCTGGGGATCCTAATCCTATGTGAATACTGGCAGTCCTGGCTCCACCAAGGGCAGCTGTGAACATCCAACATCCACTGGACCTCACTGAGTACCAGGCCCTGAGTACCAGGTTCCACTCACACCTGATCTTATTTAGTTCTCACAATATCCCTGGGAACTCGGGGGCTGTTGTCCTCATTGTACAGATGAGGAAACTGAGATTCAGAACAGAGTGAGTATATTAAGCTCTGGCATAAATACTCTATTTTTTTAATCCTTTGAAGGTTTTTCTTCCCTTAGGAATTCTCTTAGAGTTTAAAGGAGAAGACTCCAGGCAGGCTGGGATGTTTGGGGTGGGGTTCGGTGTGTGCAGGTGGCCTCACAGTGCCACTCTGGGAGAGGACTAGTGGGGTGGGCTGGAGAAGGATCTGGGTGAATGTGGGATAGCTTCCCTGAGAAGGGGCAGGATGGTGCAACGGGGAGGAAAGTCGAGCCCAGCCAGGGGGGCTGAGAGTCAGAGGGGCTCCCACCATTCCTGGCCACAGGAAGACCCTACTCTTGATCTGGTGGCTCTTCAGTATTCCCCAGGCTCCCAGAGGGCACCCAGGACAGCTTTTCTAGTTTTTAGTCCTGTGTGACAAGCTGTGAGCTACACCAGTAACCACCTCTCTCTGCCCCACCTCCTCTGGCCTTTCTTCCCTTTCTCTCTCTCTATCCCCTCCCTCCTCCTCTGTCTGTCTCCTTTGGTCTCTCTGTTTCTCTTCTCCTGTTGGTCACTCTCCCACCCTCTGTCTCTTTCCGTGACTCTGTTTCCCCATCTCTATTCCTTGCTGCTCTCTGCCTCCCTCCCCTTCTTTGCCTCCCCTGCGCCACCCTCCTCTGCCTGCCTCTGGGTCCCCCCACAGCTGTTCGTACTGTGCCACAGCGTGCTGCAGCTGGCGCAGCTCATGATCTCTGGATACCTCAAGAGCTCCATTTCCACAGTGGAGAAGCGCTTCGGCCTCTCCAGCCGGACGTCTGGGCTGCTGGCTTCCTTCAACGAGGTACAGGCCCCACCCAGCCACAGGGGTAGACAGTGAGGGAGACTTGCCCCCCACCTTCCACCAGCCTCCCCTCCCACTACCCACCTTAAGGCCTTCCCCTCCCAGTGTCCTCAGGCAACCCCTGTCCCAGAGCTTGCCTGAAACCCACGAGCACTTGCAGCTGTCTTCTAGGACCTGGACCTGGCTGTCTCCCCTTGGGAATCTCTACTGGATCGGGTCCTGGGATATTTCAGAGCTAGCCAGGGTCCCCATATCTACCTGCCCTCCCTTTGCATCATTTGCCTTTTCAGGCACCCAGCTATTGCCTGTCCCAGGAAGGAATCAGAGACAGCCACTTCAGCCGTAGGGGTAGAGACTTAAATAGCATCAAGAGCAGAACCTCTGGGCCTTGGGGCAGTGTGGGGAGGGATACCAGGGCACAGAGTGTCTGTCCTTCACAGGCCTGTGGGGCCCGCAGCCAAGCAGGGAGGAGCAGATGAACTGCTTTGGGTGGATTTGGAGATCAGAGTCCAGCTGTGCCCCAGTCCTTCAGTCCTTCCCCCACCACATGTTTTTACCCTGAAGAAAGTCATTTTTCTTCCCTGGGCAGATTCTCATGGAATCCTCCCTGCTGGGTAATGTGTTAAAACAAGGCCGTCCAGCTGCAATGTCCCCACATCCTCCTCAGCACCCCATTCCGAGGTGGGAGGGGAAAGTCCTGACCTGACCTTGCTCTGGGACCTTGGGCAAGTCACTCCCTGTCTCTGGGCCTCAGGGCCCTATCTATGGATACAGCCACTGTGGTGTGTGGCTGTCCTTTCCAGGGTCAACCATCCCTGGGCTCCCCCGCTGATACTGCCCCATTCCCCCAGTGAGGAGTGTCTGGGGCTCACCTATGGTCACCAACCAATAAGCAGCAGAGCCAATGCACCCCCTGCTCATGGTGGCAGAGACTGCCCCTGCCCTGCCAGCTCTAAAGTCCCCTCCAGAACTCACATCCCAGGATTGTGCTCCTAAGGCCAAAATTTCAAGCCTTAGGCCAGGTGTGGTGTCTCACACCTTTAATCCCAGCACTTTGGGAGGCTGAGGTGGGTGGATCACAGGAGGTCAGGAGTTCCAGACCAGCCTGGCCAACATGATGAAATCCCGTCTCTACTAAAAATGCAAAAATTAGCCAAGCATGGTGATGCATGTCTGTAATCTCAGCTACTTGGGAGGCTGAGGCAGGAGAATTGCTCAAACCCGGGAGGCGGAGGTTGCAGTGAGCTGAGATTGCACCACTGCACTCCCATCTGGGAAACAAGAGCGAAACTCCGTCTAAAAAATAAAAAAATCCAAGCCTTGATCTGGCTTTAGACTTTGTTTTTCTCGTTTATGACATTCCTGAAACTCGAGATCCCTTCATTCAATGGCCCATCCTCCTCCATATTCTAACATGGGGTCCAATCTGCGTTCAAAAACAGAATTGAACTCCTAGCTTTCTCCACTCTGCCCTCATTTCTCTCCCCTAAGGGGGCAGTGTGGCCCTTCCAAGGAGGACCTAGGGGAGGGACCCAGATGATTTTTATTCAGTCCATTATTCAGATGGGCATACTGAAGTTGAAGATAGAGACAAGGATGGTGCAGGCCCCCAGCCCTGGGCACTGCTCCACTTTAATGGGTCACCTCGTCCCTTTGCAGGTGGGGAACACAGCCTTGATTGTGTTCGTGAGCTATTTTGGCAGCCGGGTGCACCGGCCCCGATTGATTGGCTGTGGGGCCATCCTTGTGTCCCTGGCGGGCCTGCTCATGACTCTCCCGCACTTCATCTCGGAGCCGTACCGCTACGACAGCACCAGCCCCGGTAAGAGCAGCAGGGGCTGGGCAAGGTGGACATGAGCCCCTGCATTGCTCTGTGCCAGGGCCCACCCACAGGCGCCTTCATCGGGCAGGATGCACCCCAGCATCCTGGGTCCCCAACCCCAGCCGTCTCCCCAGGCCCTAGCCCCAGTGGGTCTCTGGCAGGCCTGGGGAGTGGGGTAGGAAGTAGGCCCAGCACAGAGCAGTGAGGGCCTTCTCGTATGTCACTGTGGGTTTTAGGTGGGAGTGAATTTACAACGCACCCTACTTTGAGGGCCTGGCATTCAGTCGACCCTCAGGAATTGCCTGTGTAATAATAATAGTGTCATACACTACTTACTATGCACCAGACACTGCTCTAAGCACTCAGTGTGTAGTCAGGCATTTAATCCTCACAAAAGATATTGGCAAAAGAAAGAATGAATGAGCGAATGAATAAATTTAAAAAATGAAAGAATTCTGGAGAGGAATGATGAAGCCGTGTTCAGCCCCATGGGATTTTGTTGAGAGCCTACTTGACAAATGGATGCCTGCCTCAGAGAATGACCCCAACAACCTGATCACTCTCTATTCGTTCCCTCTCCTACCCACTCACCCACCCATCCATCCATTCATCTGACATCTATCTACCCATCGATCCATCCACCCACTCATCCGTTTACCTATTCATCCATTCAGTGGGATACCCAACAAACTCTTAATGCTGCCTACTTCATGCCTGAGCCTCTCCGGGGAATCAGTCCTTTGTACTCTAAGGAGCTTCCAGTCTGGGAGAGGAGACAGTGTTTCAGTTGTGTGAGGAGGGAGGCACGGGGCCGGGGGAGGAGCCCACACCCCGGCCTGGCGTGGAAGAAGGCTTCCCAGGGTAGGAGGACTGTCAGAGAGCAGCCTTCCTCCCTCACCCTCCCGCCAGCTCACATCCCTGAAGTCCCACTCTGTACCAGACCAGAGGCCAGGGAGAGGGGAGGAAAAATGAAGCAGACATGACCCAGTGGGGTGCAGTGAGCACAGGCAACTCTGCTACAAGGTAGAGCACCCAGCGCCTTGGGAGGTGGCCAGGGGGAGCCATTAGAGCCCCGAATAGGGAAGTACTTCCTATTCCCTACTTCCCCAAAGTAGGGAAGGACCCTGGCAGCTGGAGGGGCTGGAGGAGGTGCACTCGAGCTACAGCTTACAGAGAGGTGGGAGCTGCAGGTGGAGGGGAGGGCATGGTGCAGAGGCAGGGAAGTGGGAAAGCCCAGCGCGTGCATGAAGAATGCAGAGCGGTTCTCCAGGCCTGCGTGATTTGTCAAGAGAACTCCTTGGAATACCAAAAACTAATACTTCCTGACGTTTCTTTGTACAGAATTTTCACCTTACAGAGCTTTTCCTGTGCACGGTCACAAATGTTCTTCATCCTCACTACCATACAACCCCCCTCTGCAATAGGTGCCCCTGAATCTTCAAGCAAAGCCCTTCTCCTGTCTGAGCCCCCATCTTTACATCAGCCCAAAGAGTGGGAGAGTCTCAGGGATCTCCAAGTCCCCTTCCTGATCTGATGCTCAAGGCTATTCCGTTGTCTCATTCTTTATCCAATATTGATGACGCTGTGTTCTGTGCCAGGCCCTCTGCGGGCACTGGGGACACAGGGATGGGGAAGGCAGACACAACCTCTGTCATAATTGTTGCATCTAACGTCTAGCAGGCCCCATGCCCGGGCACACTCACCACCCACCACTCTTAATGTTCACGGTGTCGGGAGGCAGGGGTTATCATTACTTCCTCACAAGTGAGGAAACCAAGGCTCAGAGAGGGGAGGAACTGCCCCAAGGACACACCCAGGTAGTCCAGCCTTAGCTGCTGCTCTGAACTGCTGAATTACTGATTCTGCTTCTGAATTCCTTATCTGGAGAACTTTGTTCTTTCTTTCATTTGAAAGATGAAAGAAACCAAGACCCAGAGTGGGTAAGGGCCTCTGTCAAAGTCACACAGCAAGTCCAAGGCAGCCTCCATGGAAGGCTTCTTTCAGGTTCTTGACCTTGGTTCACATGGCTCTTTGAAGCCCAAGGGAGTGGCTCTCCGGACTGGGTTGACACAGCTCAGAGTCCCAGCTCTATAAATGGAGGGCTGCAGAGGGAAGGCTGCTTCTACAGCCACATTTGGGATAATAATAGTGTGAGGGTCTCCTCAAGTTTGCACACCAAATATTAGTGAGCTCCAGGAACAAATGTAGGGCTCTAAATTAAGAAATTCTTTTCTGTACTCTGCATCTGTGTCCCAAGCTGACACGGAACCCTCCCCAAAGTGAATGCCAAGGGCCCCAGAGCCCTCCACCATCCAGCCCCAGCTGCCCCACCCTGCCCTCAGCCCTGGCCTTCCCCTCACGCTTTATGGTCTAGCCATTCTGAGCTTCTGATTCTCCCAGCACGGTGCCCTTTCAAGTCCCTGGGTTTTGCCCTGTACTGTGACCTCTCCCTGGAACACCCCTCCCCTCCTTCTCTTTCTGGAAAATTGTGTTTATTCTTCCAGACTCAGTTCAAACTTCACCACCTTTGACCACCCTGCCCCACCCAGGGGCCGTCATTGCTGTAGCACTTGCAAATGCCTCTGCTCAGAAAGGTGGCAGAGGGCAGTTTAAGAGTATTGACTCTGAAGCCAGACCTCCTGGATTCCAGTCCTGGCCCTGGCCCCTTACTAGTTGCTGTCTGAGTATCAGTCTCCTCACCTGTGAAACAGGCATAATGAGAGCACTCACCCCTGAGGTTTGTTGTAGGTCTCGAATGATTTCTATATGCAGTGCTTAGAACAGTACCTTTCCTGGGTGAGCCCTATTGAAGTCTTAGCTATCGTAATATGTGTCATTGTCATCCCTCAGAGAATACGCCACAGGACTTCGAGGCTTCCCTGTGCCTGCCCACAGCCTCGGCTTCAGCCCCGGCTCCCTCCAATGCCAACTGCTCGAGCTCCACAGAAGCCCAGCATCTGGGTTTGGTGGGGATCATGTTCGTGGCACAGACCCTGCTGGGCGTGGGCGGGGTGCCCATTCAGCCCTTTGGCATCTCCTACATCGATGACTTTGCCCACAACAGCAACTCGCCCCTCTACCTCGGTGAGAACTGGTCCCATCCCTTGACCTCTGAGGGTCAGGCCAGGCTCAGCTAGGAGGAAGAGAGACCTAGGGTTGGGGCTGGAGATGGAGTCCCTGCCCCCTTCCCCATCTGGCCAGTAAAGGTCCAGGGAAGCCCCGGAGAGTTCCCCATGCCTGACCAGGCGAGACAGGGTGTTCTTGCCCATCAGACAGACTGGGCAGGCACTAGTTTGTGGAGGGAAGCCAGTGCCAGAGGGTCCTAACCCCAGCTTTGTGTTGTAGGGATCCTGTTTGCAGTGACCATGATGGGGCCAGGCCTGGCCTTTGGGCTGGGCAGCCTCATGCTGCGACTTTATGTGGACATTAACCGGATGCCGGAAGGTGAGTCTCAAGAGCACACGTTTGCTAGATACTAGCTAACTGACTGCCACTCTCATGGGAGACACCGAGTCCAGGGACCATGGTTCAATCCTAGCAGCACCACTGACCTTGGGCAAGCCTCTTAGCCTCTCTGAATCTCAGCTTTCTCATCTGTGAGATAATCTCTGTCCTGTCTGTCACCCAAAGCTGCAATCAGAGTCCAGTGAGATGGCAGAGAGAAGCTATAAAGTGCCATCAGATAAGGAGCCGTGGTTGCCATCACTACTATTACTAGGAGTCTTCGCCCTGTTCCATACCCCACCTCCCCCAGGCCCTCAGCCCTCTGCTCACATGTGCTGTGGGCAGGTGGAAGAGTGTACTCTCCAGACCGGTAGGGAGCGCCCATCTTTAGTGGGAAACAAGACTTGAGTTAAGCAGAGAGGACAGTGCACCCTGGAGAGAACTTTGGAGCAGGACTTGGGGACTCTGTATCACCCTGGGCCTCTCTCAGGTGGGACATTTACTGTGACCTCTAAGAACCCTTCTAGTTCTGACCAGCTCAGAGTCTAGGAAACTGCCAGGGCACCATCTGGGAAACAGTGGTCTCTGGTCCAGGCAGTGGTCAGAGTGGGCCAAGGAGTGGAACTCACGCTCGGTCTGAAGGTGGCCAGGAGGGAGGGGTGTTGGGGTTTCTGGGGCTCTGGAGCCCTTGGAGAGCCAGAGGGTATGACTGTTAGAGCGTGTCACTGAGGCATCCCAGCTCCCAGCTTGTCACACCAAGCAGCTCCAGATGTGCCTCCTGCCTCCTGCTGTTCTCACCTGCAGACTTTCTGCCAATCCTGGGAGCCTCAGGTGACATGTGTGTGGCTGAATGAACAGGCAGATGCTGCTTCTTGTTCCCCTGCCTCCAGCCAGAACAGGTCTGGGTGGCTCTGGACAGCAGCCACTAGGGACAGCCTGCCCTTCCCCCTTTCCTTCTGGAAGGCTGGGTCCGGAGTGTGGGTTCTGGCTGGAACACCGTCCTCCCCCGAAAGAAGCCCTGGGAGTCAGGAGTTCCCTAGATTTCCCAGACACACCTCAGCTCCCCGCAAGGGGGTGTGTTTTCTGACTCTGTTGACATTGTCCTGGCAGACAGGGCATCTCCACAGGCAGATGTGACATTTCTGTGGACCAGCCTGCCACCTTGAAACTCCCTTCTCCATGGGGGATTTCACAGGGTGGGCGGATCATGCCAGCTGCAGGCACAGACTGATATGAGAGAAGCGGAGGAGTTGGAGAGGGGCAGGTGTGAGCTCTCACCAGCCTGACACGGAGGCGGGGGAGATAGCAAGTAAGGAGACGATCAAGTCTAATCGGTGCGAAAGCCAAACCCATCCCTGGCTTCACAGGTACATTTGCTAAGTGCCAACTGTGTCCTCTGGTCCCCACCTGGGAGGAACCAGCTCTGCATGTGGGATTGGAGTATCAAGGATCACTTGGTTTTTCTTGTTTTTGTTTTGAGTTAGGATCTCACTCTGCCCCTCACGCAGTGGCACAGTCCTAGCTCCCTGCAGCCTTGGATGCCTGGGCTCAAGCAATCTTCCCGCCTCAGCCTCCCGAGTGGCTGAGACTACAGGTTTGCACTATCACACCTGGCTAACTTTTTAATTTATTTGTAGAGACAGGGCCTCGCTACGTTGCTCAGGGTGGTCTTGAACTCCTGGCCTCAAATGATCCTTCCACCTCAGCCTCCCAAAGTACTGGGATACAGGCTTGAGCCACTGCACCCAGCTTATTTGTATTTTTATGAAGCATTTTCGGATGCTGTGGAGACTGAAGGAGAATGTACGCAACTCAGCCTTGGGGTTAAGAAGTATGACGGGAGCTTTGTGTGTTCTAGCCAGGAGGTACATCTGGGATAATCTAGTCCTAATTACACCTAGTTGGGGCTCAAAATCATCCAGGGAACTTGTTAAAGGTACAGATTCCTTGGTCACCTTCCCACCCCTCTGTGGTCATTCTAAGTGGGTCTTTGGTAAGGCCAAGTATTTTTGACAAATATCCCTGGGGATATTAATCATCATGCAGGTCTGAGAAACACAACTGTAATCCTAACCAATCATTTAAGAATAATAATCACAATAGTAATGAGAAAGAGGAAGAGGAGGAGGAGGAGGAGCCGGTACCCATACGGCACATGCTCTTTTAAGTGCTTCATATCTATGAATTTATTTTTTTAAATATTTATTTATTTACTTTCTAAATTTCTTTTTTTTTTTTAAGAGTCAGGGCCTTGCTATGTTGCCCAGGCTGGAGTGCAGTGGCTATTCACAGGCGCGATCCCACTACTGATCAGCACGGGAGTTTTGACCTGCTCCGTTTTTGACCTGGGCCAGTTCACCCCTCCTTAGGCAACCTAATGGTCCCTCGCTTCTGGGAGGTCACCATATTGATGCCGGACTTAGTGTGGACACCCGATTGGCATAGCGCACTACAGCCCAGAACTCCTGGACTCAAGTGATCCTCCAGCCTCAGCCTCTTGAGTAGCTGGGACTGTAGGCATGCGCCACTGCGCCCAGCCACATCTATGAATTTCTGTAATGTTCACAACAACCCTATGATTTGGGAGCTACTAATATCTGTATTTCACAAAGGACAAAAACTGAGGCACTAAGAGGTTTAGTAGCTTGCCCAAGGCTATGAGTTAGTAATGGAATTCAGACCCAGCAGTCCACCACCAGTGTCCATGGCCTTGACCGCTGCACTACACTGCCTTAGTAGTTGAAGAAGCCAAGGCTCGGAAAGGGCCAGTGACTTGCCCAGGGTCACACAGGACACACCTGGCAGAGCAGAGATTGGAACTCAGGTCTCCTGACTCCCAGCCTGGCCCACCTAATGTCTCAGAGGCCAGTCCCAGGATGGTGGCTTAGAAGTGGCAGCCCATCATTCTGACCCTAACATCACTATGCTCTTCTCTTCCAGGTGGTATCAGCCTGACCATAAAGGACCCCCGATGGGTGGGTGCCTGGTGGCTGGGCTTCCTCATCGCTGCCGGCACAGTGGCCCTGGCTGCCATCCCCTACTTCTTCTTCCCCAAGGAAATGCCCAAGGAAAAGCATGAGCTTCAGTTCCGGCGAAAGGTCTTAGCAGTCACAGACTCACCTGCCAGAAAGGTAAGCCCCCTCCACGTCACCTGTCTGGGTGCAGGCTGCAGCCCCACCCACTCATTCTCCTTTGTAGCATTACACTTCATCCCCACTGCACATTGTACTTCCTGCCCGGGCTCCATCGAATCTTTCCAACAGCCTTGCACAATGATGTCACCTGCCTTCTCCACAGCTGAGGAGACCCAGAGCCAGTGTTGGAAAGTGACTTACCCAAGATCACAGAGCCAGCAAGGGCAGTGCTGGGATGAGAACCCGCACCTTTCTCAGCCCATGCCCGTCATGCTAACCATTACAATATGGCCTCTGTGCTTATCATTTAAGTTTTTGTATTCTGAACCTTCCATAGGAATGTTAAGAATTGGGGTGGGACAATCTGGGAAGACTTCCCTGAAGAGGAAGTATTTCAGCTGGACTTTGAAGGATATGTGGAAGCACAGAAAGGAGAGAGGAACAGAGATTCTAGGCACAGAAACACCCTGGGTGAAGGATTTGGCTGTAGAAATAAACCTGGCCCTTTGGGGGACAGTGAAGGGGACACACGTGCACGGAGTGCAGGCTCCAGCCTGGACCTGAATTTCAGTCCATGGCCTACACCCTTCCAGCATGCACAATCTGGGGAGGACACAGACTTACTGACAAGTCATAACCGGTCTGATGCTCCAGTGGTATCTAGAATCCCCCTTCTCCGCTCTTGGGGCAGGTGGGTCTTTCCTTAGAAGAGGACATGGAGGTCCAGCCAGTGGAGCGATTTGCCCAGGGCCACAAAGCTGGTAGGAGAGTACAGGATCATGTGAGCCACTGGGCAGCACAGACCATTCCAGGCCCGGGACCTCCAAGTTTTCCAGATATCCACAAAAACACGAAGCCTGAAAAACAACAAACTGGCTTTAAACTAAAAAGAAAACGACAACATAGAAACAATTTTAAACGTGTATTTATTTATTTATTTTTATTTTTTGAGATGGAGTCTCACTCTATTGCCCAGGCTAGAGTACAGCAGCCACTGTCTCCAACTCCCAGGTGCAAGTGATTCTCCCGCCTCAGCCTCCCAAGAAGCTGGGATTACAGGCGTGCGCCACCAGGCCTGGCTAATTTTGTATTTTTAGTAGAGAAAGTATTTTACCATGTTGGCCAAGCTGGTCTCGAATCTCTGACCTCAGGTGACCTGCCTTCCTCGGCTTCCCAAAGTGCTGGGATTATAGGTGTGAGCCACTGCGCCACGCCTAAAAGTTTAACTACATGCAAGTAATGCCAGATTCACTAAGTTTTCTTTAACACTCATACACATTTCATTATATTCTGAAAATATGTGCGTTAGATTTCCTTTTTCTCAAGTATAGGAGGTGGCTGTTGAGAAATCACAGACAATTGTAAACTAAGTAACTTGTTGCTAAGTAATTCTAATTTCAAAGGGACAGTTTATAAAAATTCTGTTGCATATTTTTGCCACAAGAGCATTTCTGTGGCAGGTTGATGCATTTGAATATGTTTGGAGAGGGTGGGAATGGGGAGAGAAATGAGACAGCTCTGACGGTGCTCCAGGCCAGGTGGACGCCGTGCATTGGCAGTGAGGGGATAGGGGTGCATCTGGGAGCTACCCAGGTGGGGGACTGCACAGAGCTGCCCTGCTATAAGATGTCCCCAAGGCAGTGATAATTTGGGCTGATGCTGGGATTGGGTACAGCTGGCTCAGAGGCAGGGGGAGGCAGCTGCCGGGGAATGAGCAATTTCAGGGGAAGAAGACAGTTTGGAACCACAGAGGGGCCTTTCTGATTCTGCCTAGCTCAGGCCAAAGTTTGGTTAAGATGAAATTCCTAGAACTTAGAAGTGGGGGTGATGATCTTAGAGGAAAGAGAGCGAGGCTATATTGCTGGTTACAGATAATCTCCAAATTGGGTCCTAAATTTGAACAGAGAAGAATGCCAGTTGAGCCATGGTGGAATAGGTGACAAAAGCAAAGTTTAGGGGTGGGAGACTGTGCTGCGCTCCGTCACATGTCAGCCATGTGACCTTGAGCAGCAAGCCACTTCCCCATTCTGTGCTGCTGTCTAAGATGCCGAGGTTAGGTTACTGGAGCAATATCCTGTGCGCCTCAGATTCTGAGAATGCACGATTCCTTGAGTCAGAGCTGCTATGATTCAGAGACTCGAATTTTAAGAGCTGTGTCTCTATGATGCTTTGAAACCCCGGCTCCCCAGCTGTGAACCTGTCTGGCTGTCTGGATTCATTCTGTCAGCACATTGGGGATGGGGAGTGGGGAAGGAAGGGGGTGAGAGGTTCTTTAAAAAGAAACAAGGGCTGAGAACATGATGATCTGCTTCCAGTAGCTCTCAGGCAATAAATATTGATGTGGGAGGAATTGTTCCTCCGCCTCCCTGAGGCTGTCTTGGCTGGGTCTGCTTGCACTAACGCTGGCTGGCCTGGCCCACGAGGGCCACTGATGGGGAATCTGAGAGTTTGGGATTTCTAAATTACATGGTTTTAAAATCCTGTGTTCCTAATAGAGCTTCTCAAATACTTACTTATATTATTGTAAAAGTCTATGCCTCGAATGGTCCATCACTCCCCAAATCCACTTTTCTGAATGGTTGCAATTTTGGCTAAGAGTCTGTAAGCCTGTGATGTCCACTGTCTCCCAGTCATTAACTTCCATGTACTTCTTTGGGAGAATGGTCAGGGATGAAGGACAGGAGTGTGAGGTGGTGATGGTCCTTAAAACCCAGGACTTCGGGCTGGTCTGTCGGGATTGCCCAGCCAGGAGGCCCCCATTCCCCTGGGACTCTGTGTCTCCACAGCAGCCTCTGTGAGTCCTGAGGTGCTGCAGGCCTCCCAGCCCCCAGTGCCTCTTCCTTGTAGGCACTGCCTCTAGACCCTGCTGCATCTCACAGATGGAGGAATTGGCCCATAGAGGGTCAAAGACCCGCCCAGAGGTTGGGCAGCACCACAGCCTGAATGATGGAGCAAGACTCTCTCTCAAAAAAAAAAAAGAACGCCAAATGCAGGTTCTGTTTAGACCATAGGGTCATTCTCAGGGTATGCTTAAGAAGCTAGTACTGTCAGGTACGTATACCATGCAATATGGTGGCCGCACCATACCAGCCCGGCTCTGATACTTACTAATTCTGAAATCTGTAAGATGGGTATAACCGTAACACCTACATCTCGGGGCCTTTGTAGGAATGAAGTGAGGCAAAGTGGTGAGGTGGGCCGTTCAGTGCCAGAGCGCAGGTGCAGTAAACAGGAGTGCTGGTTATTGGTATGTCTCTCCAAGCAGGCCCACTCTTCAGGGGAAAAAGTAATAGAAAAAGTGCCTTTTTTCTAACCTTCTTATATGCTTTTCCTTTTTACATGTTTTTTAACTTTTTTGTTTTTTAAATTTCATTTTTCAATTGAAAAGTTAAAATTGTATGTATTTATGGTGGAACATGATGTTTTGATCTGTGTATGCATTGGGGAGTGGATAAATCAAGCTGTTTAACACATGCCTTACCTCACTTACTTATCTTTTTGTGTGTGTGGTGAGAACATTTCAAACCTACTTCCTTGGTGATTTTCAACTATGTAATGTATTGTTATTAACTACATTCATTATGATGTACAAAGATTGCTTGAACTTATTTCTCCTGTCTAACTGAAATCTTGTATCCTGTGACTAACAACTTGTCCAGCCTCTGGTAACTGTCCTTCTACTTTTTGCTTCTATGAGTTTGGCTTTTCTTAGATTCCACGCCTAAGTGAGGTCACTTCTTATTTGTTTTTCTGTGCCTGGCTTATTTCACTTAACATGGTGTCCTTAGGATCATCCACGTTTTCACAATGACAGGATTTCCTTCTTTTTTAAGGCCAAATAGTATTCCATTGTTCACACATACTACATTTTCTTTATTCATTCATCTATCGATGGACTCTCAGGCTGAATCCATATCTTGGCTAATGTATATAGTGCTGCAGTAAGCGTGGGAGTGCAGATCTCTCTCCTTTCTTTGATTTAAATATATTCTTTTATTTGAAAATTTGTGTTTTTTCATTTTCTTTTTTAAATTGTTATTTTTTTTTTTTGAGATGGAATCTTGCTCTGTTGCCCAGGCTGGAGTGCAGGGGCACAATCTCGGCTCACTGCAACCTCTGCCTTCTGAGTTCAAGCAGTTCTCCTGCCTTAGCCTCCTGAGTAGCTGGGATTACAGGCACACACCACGATGCCTGGCTAACTTTTGGATTTTTAGTAGAGATGGGGTTTCACCATGTTGGCCAAACCATTGAACTCCTGACCTCAAGTCATCCGCCTGCCTCAGCCTCCCAAAGTGCTGGGATTACAGGCGTGAGCCTCTGCGCCCGGCTAAAAGGTTTTAATTTTTAATTTTTATGGGTTCATAGTAGGTGTATATGTTTATGGGGTATAAGAGATTTTTTTCTTTTGAGGTGGAGTCTCTCTTTCTCTCTCTCTCTCTCTCTGTCTCTCACTGTTGCCCAGTCTGGAGTACAGTGGTGCAATCTCAGCTCACTGTAACCTCCACCTCCAGGATTCAAGGAATTCTCCTGCCTCAGCCTCCTGAGTAGCTGGGATTGTAGGCGCTCGTCACCGTACTTGGCTAATTTTTGTATCTTTAGTAGAGATGGGGTTTTACCGTGTTGGCCAGGCTGGTCCCCAACTTCTGACCTCAAGTAATCTGCCTACCTCTGCCTCCCAAAGTGCTGGGATTACAGGTATGAGCCACTGTGCCCAGCCTACATGAGATATTTTGAACTGGCATACAATGGGTAATAATTATGTCAGGGTAAATAGGGCATCCAACACTTCAAGAAATAACAAAGAATTTATCATTTCTTATTTTTTAAATTTATTTTTCTGTGTATAACCAACCAATCAATAGAATGTATCATTTCTTTGTGTTACAAATATTCCAATTATACCCTCTTAGTTTTTTGTTTTGGGTTTTTTTTTTCTTTTAAGACAGTCTCACTCTGCCACCCAGGCTGGAGTGCAGTGGCGAAATCTCTGCCCACTG